CGGGAGAGCGCGGTCCGGCCGGCGCCGTCTCCTCGGCGCTTTCTGGTGCGCTGCGCCTGTGCGCGGTACACAGGCGTGCGCGTTGTACGTGCTCCGTGAGAAGGGGATAGTTGGCACCACAACATAGTAGGCCTGTAAGTAGCGAACAAGATAATGACAAAAATTCTTGGCTTGACTGTATCCTTCCGTTGAATTTTGTCTCAAGTTTTCATTTACATCCGCAAGTGACATGGCATTTAAATAGTCAAAGTGTGTTGTAGTATTTCCATTTTATAAACCATTCCCATCAAGCCAGCTGCAGTGTGCAGCATAACAATCATGGTGTGCTTGTGTGCGTGCCTAGTGAGAAGGTAGAGGGGCAGTTGCATTGTAGCAGTTAAGGATTGCTTGACTTTTCTGCTTCTAGGGTTTTATTTTTTCTTCTCCACTGTTCATCTTAGTTGCATTTGGCACCTTAGAAGATCTTTCAATTCAATATCTTTTTTTTTTTTCTTGAAGGCATATCAGAGGATTGCAGATGAAAAATGCAAAGCCCAGAAAAGCCTTTAAGTATTACAGAAAAAGGAAATATGGCCTGAATAAACTTGCCTGCACCATGTAAATGCTTTGAAGTTTTGTAATGGCAGAAGCTAGGTTTTCAGAAATTAAAAGAGCCCGAATAAGTTTGTCACTCAGTAAAAATAAGAAAAAAAAAGGAACAACAAAAAAAGTGGAAGGTAAAGGAACACCATCTATACCTTCAGCAGCCTCCTCTATTATTTCCTTTTTTAACAATGTTCCCCCTGCCAAGATTACCTGTCCCGTGTGTGGGCAAATGGTGCCAAGATATGGAATAAAGAAGCACATGGATGAAACATGTCAGAGAAGCCCTGGTGAGATAGGCATCGTTGATTCAACACTCAACTCTTTAAGGAATGAGAGTCCCCCAGCTGCAAATGTGAACAATAATTCCAGCTCATATTTTTCAAAAAGACTCTTAAATCTAGAAACAAGTCCTTTCAAAAGCAGTTTATTGAAAACAGGAGGGAGTGCAGCACAACAGATTAGTCCTTATTTTAGCAATAATAGTTCAGTCTGTAGTGTTAACAATGAACCACAGGCTCAAACAGTTAAAGTAGTCTCTTTGGGAAGCTTGTCATCTAAACTGTCCAGAAGACGACATACCCAGGGAGGAAAACAGATCGTGTATAAAGAGATTGACTCTTCACCTCCAGCTGTTCACAATGTCTGCAAAAGTGTTGCAGCACAGGATGATGATGATGAGATTTACGTTGGGTGTAGTTCTCAGAAAGAAAATCAGCTTGTGCAGAGAGAGTGCCAGGAACGAAATTTTTCAAAGAAGGAACTTGAATTTCAAGAAGAAACAAACAAATGTAATGGAGAAGACCTTGTGGATATTGTTCAGGTATCATTACCAGCTGATAACAGTAATGGCAAAAGGTTACCAATTGGTACAAGGAGCATCAAAACAGAATGTAGGTCTGAAGGTGTGATACTTAGTCCTGGTAAATTTGAAACACATCTAGCCATTTATACTTCAGGAGAGCTGACCAATAGCTTGGAAGTCAAGACTCAGCCTTACACTCAGGTTATTCCTTCTTCCAAGATGAAAGTGAGCTGTGGTACACAAAATTGCTTTAGCAAGGGTGATGAAGAGGTACTTCCTGTGGAAGTTCATGAAGACTTTAAAGATGAGATTAATCATACTTTGTCAGAAACTGTGGAAAAGGTAGAATTTCAAAGTTCCATTGGGGACATTTTAGGCAAAATAAATGAGGTTAGCTCTGTGCCCAGCGGTCCTGGTCACCCATATTACCTCCAGAATTTTTTAGTAGTGCTGCAAGCGGTCTTGGAGAACAAAGATGATGTCAGACTCTTTGACGAGCAAGACATGAACATCATAACCAAGTTCTGCAAATTATCAGGTATCTTTTTTTTTTTAATATATTGTCACATTACTTCTTGTAGAGAGAACTGTTACATAGTTTTATGTGAAGAGTGCTATACCAATGGACAATTTAACTTGATGAATTCCTTAAGGTGAGAAGCTCCCTTTTCTCAGGAGACATATCCCTCACTGTCTTCTTTTAGGTAAACTTTCCTAATGTTGCTTTAATGGAAGGTAATGATATATAGCGGAAACTTGTAAGAAGTAAGGAGGGAATGATTATGTATATTTCTGGGTTTTTTTGAATGCTTTTTTTTGTCTCCTGTTTTAGTACTATTTTTTAAAATCGTAAGTCAAGTTGGTGCTGCATTTAAACATGTTTCCAAGGAAGGAAACTCATTACACAGAAAAAGAGTATCAGTTAACACCAAGCTGTTGATGAATATTATGTACAGCAATTCTACAAAATGGAATTATGAAGAGGCCTGTTCTGGATACATAGACTTGGAAAAAAAACTTCGGAAGTGGCATTTGTGAGCTTTGAGTCAGCACATTTACAGATTACTTTTGTGCTTGGTGTGAATCCAAGGTTATCCCTATGATTATTATCCAGTTTAGAATGCTAGTTACTAATTAACAGTCATTTTCTTGTGGGTTGCTTAGTACTTTTAACTCTCATTAATTTCAGTAGGAGCCAGAATGTTGTAGATTTAAGTCCTCCATATTTATAGACAAGATTCAAAGCAGACATGTTGTCTGAATCCTATACTCATATCAGTTTTACAGTAAAAGCATAGCAGAAGTGATGCAAGTTAAAACTAACCCTCCAGATTTTTATGTATGTTTAACTTGTATAGATGTGGAGAATAATAAAATGAGGTTGGTTTAGTGTAGGTGACATCACAAGGTTTTTAATACAGGACACTAAGTGCCAAAAATAGGGAAGCTTTGGCTTGAGCTTTTTAGGAAGAAATATAGCCCTGATAAGTAGCTCACAATCTCAGTTCCTTAAAAAAATTGAGTCAGTGCTTATCTGTTTCTCTAGGAAGCACTTAAACTGTGGTGGAACAGTCTCAAAAATGTCTTCTTTGACATAAGATCTTTTTCCAAAATTTAGCAGCTGGAAAGGACCAAACATTCTTCATTTGCCCTAGTGGAAAAGTCAGCTGAGCTGACTCAAGCCACCTTAAGAGATGGTTGCTAAAAAGGTGAAGAAACTCCAGAGGAGTAAGCAGGGCTCTAAGCTTACACAGGTATTTCTGCAGCAGTTATCTGGTCACAGTTAAGCTCTTACAGATTATATTGTAATAGATACAATTATGCAGCAACACCAAACATTTAAATAAGTTAAAGAATAATACTAACATAGGTTATGAGAACATTGTAAGATGAGATCATAACATAGGACTGCATTTGTCAGGGTGCAGCAAGAGCAGACTACTCTATATGAGAAGGTGAGCCAGGAGCCAAAGGGGACAGCAGGGCAGGCAGGGGCCACATCCTTTCCTCACCTGCAAGAAGCATAAGCCCGCACTACCCAAAGAACAAGAGCAGAGTGGATCCAGTACCAGCCATACTGCAGTGGTGGCAGGTCTTCAGGCCAAGTCTGTAGTGATGAGGTAGGTGCAAGGTGCTGCACACCACAGCAGAGCTTAGGCAAGAGTGCAGGCCACCAGCCTGAGCTTAAGTACAGCGCTGAGCGAATCGGAAGGCCCTGACAAAGCCTCACACAGCTCTTCCCAGCAGCTTACACAGCTGTACTGTATTAGAGCTGACCTTGAACATAAGCAGCCAAACCTGTGGGGGCTGGGATGGGGTTGCAGAGTCTATTGGTGTACTCAAGGCCATAAGAATATTAAAATAGTTAACTTTCTCCACCTAAATGTGTATACAGTGACATCTTGGAGCTTGGTAATGCCTTGTTTATGTTGTGATAGTTAACATGGGAATATACAAAGAAAGAATGGAATGTAAGCAACAAAACTCTTGTTATTGGCTCTCTGAGGCAAGCAATAGGTGCCTGTCATTTACATCCAAAGAAGATCTAGGAATAAACTTATGGTTAGGTCATTAGTGGATGCAGGCTTTGGCTACTTTGACAAATACTAAAAAGAGATGTTCAGGATACAGCTTCCTTATTTCCAAACTCCCTTCTCTGGATGCGTACAACATTGATCAGTAGTAGTAACTTGTTCTGTTAAATAAAGGCAGTACTTGTTTGTCTTTCAGTAGTGTGATTTCAGTATTTCCCCTCTCACAGGAGTTATATATAGTTAGTTATATATATATTAGTTATATATAGTTATA